GGGGGGAAATCAGGTTTAAGGAGAAGCTCAAACTATGTCCTACCAGGATTATTAGTCTGGCATCTGCTTCTTGAGGGTGCTCGGTCGCAGGGCGTTGTGAGTAAGGTGACCATAAGTATGACCAAACTGGAACTTGTAACCTGTGGCAGCAAGGAGGAAATCCTGAGTAGTGTTGGATGGGAGGCAGTGAGGAGAATGTGCTGAGCATGGGCCATGGGGCTGAGAGCCAGAACCTGGGACAATCTGGCTGTGAGACTTTCTGGCTATGGACCACCTCACACTTAAGGGCTCTGGGGCATTTGAAATTAGACCAGCCACAGCACAGGATCTGGGGATCCTGGAGGAATGATCCCTGAGAACCCTTTCATCCCTTTCCTGTACACCCAGGTAGCTCCAGGGAGAAGAGAAAAAAAACATTAGAAGCTCCAGCTTTGTGTATGAGGATATCACATTGGAGTTTGAGACTGTGGTCTGCAGCAGTGAAATTCAAAAACTCATGAATAAAAAAAAAATCACAGCCAGAATCCCAGAATGGTTGAGGTTGGAAAGGACTGCTAGAGATCATCTAGTCCAAGTAGGGACACCTAGAGCACATGGCACAGGGTGGCATACAGGTGGATTTTGAAGATCTCCAGAGAAGGAGACTCCACAACCTCTCTGGGCAGCCTGTTCCAGGGCTCTGTCACCCTCACAGGAAAGACGTTCTTCCTCACATGGAGATGGAACTTCCTGTGTTTCAACTTGTACCCATTACCTCTTGTCCTGTCATTGGCCATTGCTGAGAAGAGTTTGGCCCCATCTTCTTTACATTCTCCCCTCAGATATTTTTACATATTTGTATATTTATAAAGCAACACAACCTCCTGTCCCAATCTAGGGAGGCACAAAATGGCCATGGCTTGCACGTGGGCTGCTTTGGCCCTTCAGAGGGCTGCTGTGGACAGACCTGCTGAGAAATGGCATAGGGTCAGACTGCTCTTTCCATCTGTGCAGGTAGGCCAAAAAGGGGAAGGGGATTGTGTGCTCCCATGTGGGAGCGCTGAGTCAGGTGTGCGGCAGGAGAGGCTATGTCCATCAGCCTGCACACTGTTACCAGACACACCAAGTGCCAGCTTGCCCACGCTTACAGCGCTGGGGTGCTTGCTGCTGAGGCTGCCTCACGTGTGGTGGGCCACAGTTGAATGATTAGAGCATGAGAGGCTGGATTTGGAGTTGCAGCCAGAGGGTTTCTTGCCCTTGTGGTCCTTCCATGCCTGAACACTCTAACTAGATTTAGAAGAGCATACTGGGGTGGAAACTAGATTCTCTGGAGGGAAGGTATATGTCCATGGCTGTTTGCTGTTGGACACTCACCTGGGACATAGCCTGCGTAGTGAGGTAGTAGGCCTGTCTCCATTGGGTAGGTTTTTTCCCTGGGGTGGGAGGATGGTGCTGCCTTCCTTGGTCTCACTCCTGCCACCTTTCTTCAGGGCCATGTGGCTAAACTCCATCAGGGCCCGGTTGGTGGTAATCGGGTAGCTTTTCCCGATCAGGAACCGGGCGCGGGGCACAAAGCCCATGAAGCCTGCACCAGTGACAGGACATGTCCTGTAACAAGGCCAGCACTGGCTGCAAGCAGCCCTCAGGAGGCTTGGTACCCCCAAGCCACCCAGGGGACAGCTGAGGGGCTGTCCTGGACCCTTCCCATGCCCACCCAGCACCCCCTCCAAACACGCACTCCTAGGGTGTTGCCTCAAAGGGGATATGCAGAGGCCGTCAGGGAGGACAGCATCCCTTTCCCATCCCCGCTGGCAGCCCTGTCCTTGCAGCCTCACCTAAGATGAAATATTTCTGGGGGTCATCATCCTCCATGGAGTAGGGGGAGCGC